TTACCACAGAGGGCTGTTGCTGCTGGGTCATTCAGTATATTCAAGTCTGAGAGAGATTTTCAATCAGGAAGGAGAATTGAATGTTATGGGGGTGGGAGGGAGCGGGTGGGGTTGGGGATGGAATTGCAGCAAAGTAGAGTTAAGAATGATCAGTTCAACCACAATCATCATTGAAAGGTGGAGCAGCTAGATGGGCTGAATGGCCTACTTCTGATTGTCTTGTCATATGTCCACCATTCCCAAGCAATGTAGTCACATAGTCCTGTGTTTCCTTTCTGACAGAGTGATGCAATGTTATTTTGAAATGTGTTAGCCATATCTTTCCTCTTTGCTTGAACAACAGAGGACACAATTTCAACAGGAGTGGGGCCACTGGTGTCTGAAACAAAGAACACACTTTGTAAGGTTGCAAAAGCAACATAGTGCAGGGTTCTGGAGATCTGAAACCAACACAGAGAGCACTGGAGAAACTCAACAGGTCTGGCAGCACCTGTGCGGGAGAGAGAGAGACAGGCACAGAGTTAGTATTTTGAGTTTGTCAACTCTGCATCCGTTCTCATGCCTTACTGGCAAGTGTTTCTATCAGATAAGGAGCGTGCTGTGTCAACAGATGAGGTTTAGTTCCTTTTCTCGTGTGTTTTGGTTGCAGGCAGTCCATTCGACTTGTCTCTGGGTGGTTAGTATCATTTTCTGTTCTCTCTACCCAAGGTCATCTGACAGAAGCCACTAGAGCTTCCCCCTGACCCTGTGCCAGAAGATTCAGAGCTGCAGACCGATCTGCAGAAGCTGGACCCTAATCTCCCCCTTTCGATTGTCTCCCTGGGGTGGGGAGTCGGTCCCTCAAGATCATGTATGCTTTGGAAAGACTGTGCAGAAGTAGGTCGTGTTTGTCCAGCTTATTGATGGGAGAGAAAGGGAAGGGACAACTGGAGGCAATTCATTCTCTTTGGTGAATCCATTGGCGAGATTGATCCTCGTGAGAAATCCTTGAATGGCCAAAACAGAAATGTGTTAAATGCTACGGACAGGATATTATTCAACTGGAAAGATTGACAAGGATGTTACTGGGACTGGAGGGTTTCAGTTGTAGGGAGGGGTTAATTAGGCTGGGACATTTTTTTCCAGGAGAGTGGAGGTTGAGGGGTGATCTTATAGAGGTCAATAAAATCATGAGGGGCACAGATAAGGTGAATAGCCGAGGTCTTTCCCCCAGGTGGGGAAGTCCAAAACTAAAGGGCATAGGTTTAAGGTGAGAGGGTAGAGATCTAAAAGGGACCTGATGGGCAGCTTTTTGATACAGAGGGTGGTGCATGTATGGGATGAGTTGGGAGAGGAAGTTGTAGATGTGGGTACAATCACACATTTAATAGGCATTTAAACAGGTACATGGAAAGGAATGGTTTAGATGGACGTGGGTCAAATGCAAGCAAATGGGACTAGGACAGTTTGGAAAACCTGGCTGGCATGGACAGGTTGGGCCGAAGGGTCTGTTTCTGCTGTATAACTCTGTTTGATGTGTTCTTTTTACTTGCTGCAGTTAAAGGGAGAAAATTGTGGAAAAGGGGGAGGTGGGGAGAAATCAGTTTATAACGCTCTCAGGGAGATGGATCATCACAGATCACAAATTACACCACTGGTAGATGGACCGAGTGGCGTCATTCTCTGCTCCTATTTATTTCCTTTTTCAGGAATGTCAGAGGTGAAATTATTTGAATTCCCAAAGTATTTACCCTCCCAGACAGAAAGAGGTTGACTTTACATTTGGACTCGTGCGATGCATGTGAAGGCGTTTTAGATGTTTATTTTCTGTCAGTGGTTGTTACATATTTATATATAAATGAAATATTGTGTGCATTTATCTCCTGGATTAATCACATACAATAAGATGCCAGAGCCGTGCTGTTAGGAGGAGCTAAAATAATTGCAACTGATTCGCGTGTTCGAGCCTGCAATTAAAATTTCTGGAAGCGAGGGTCGGGTGAGGGAGAGAAAGAGAGATGAGAGCAGGATGAAGGGAGAGAAAAGGATGATGACAGGATTGAGAGAGAGAGAGAGACAGAGAGCACGTGCGGGATGGTGACAGGACTGAGAGATGGAGTCACATTCAATGTTTTGGCCCCAGTCGCTTTCTGTGGCAGAGAATCCCACATGCTCTCCACTTTCTGGGTGAAGACATTTTTCCTCATCTCAGTCCTACCCTGTCCCCTTTAGACTGTCACCCCCTGTTTCTGGACTGCCCCGTCATGACTGGGAACATCCTTTATTGTTGGTGGGTATAGTCTGGATGGATCGAAAAGACTATCCAGTACTGTGAGACTCGGTCGTATTAAAGTGTACATTCCTGATCACGTGCCACCATCCAGATTTCATTTTTGCGTTCATCAGTCAGATGATTGATAATAGGATTTGGGACGTCATGTTGCCATTGTACAGGACATTGGTGTGGCCACTTTTAGATTACTGTGTATAATTCTGGTAGCATAGCGAAAGGGAGGATAGTATTAAATTGGAGAGGGTGCAAAAAGGATTTGCAAAGCCAAGTGCAGGCCAATGAGACTAGTTTATTATGGGAAGCCTAGTTGGCATGGACAAGTTATGCCAAAGGACCTGTTTCTGTACTGTATGAATCTATGACTTTATTGCGAGATGCCCCCAGCTATCGAAATGAGCAGATTGAACAGGCATCTCCATTCAATGAAGCTTCATCCCCAGGACCCTTCCTTACCACCGCTCGGTTTCATTCTCCCACTTTCTCTTCTATTCTCTGTCGCAAAGTATTACCCAGCTCCATCCTGACATTCTGGGCTCAGATTTCCAGTTGGACGTTAGTCCCTGGCGCCCCTCTCCGGCTACGGTACTTCTAAAGCAAACGTACGAACTTGGAGCAAAAAGAATGATGTACCTCTTTGACAAACAAAAATCCTGCCCCAAAACCTGTGGCTACAGGAGTTCAAACAGTAGATTTCTCTCCATAAGCCAATAACACATGATCAGGTGGGCGTGTGCGTTTTCCACAGAGTTTATAATCGAAAATGAGAACATTCACAGATGTAAGGAAAATTCTCTTTTTTTTTTAAACAGTAAGAACTGCTTCATATTTGGATGGCCACGGTACGTTGCAAAAGTTAGGTTGAAAATGTTCCATTAAATGATTACACACAAAGGGTTATCGAGGTTTAAATCTCTTTTCCACAAACACAGCAGTGGCTGGATCAGTTGTTAGTTTCCAATCTGACAGATTTTTGTTTGGCTGAGATAATAAGGGGATAGGGGCCAAAGGCAAGTTAATGGTGTGAAGCCACAGATCAGCCATTGAATGGTGGAACAGGCTCAACGGGTGGCACAGTGGCTCAGTGGTTAGCACTGCTGCTGCTCAGTGCTAAGGACCCAGGTTCGATTTCAGCCTCAGGTAACTGTCCGTGTGAAGTTTGCACATTCTCTCTGTGATAGTGTGGGTTTCCTAAAGGTGCTCCCGTTTCCTGGCACGGTCCAATGGTGTTCAGGTTAGACAGGCCCCTTCTCCCCAACCTTTGAGAGAAGCCATTCCTCCTCATCTCCATTATCAATCTGCCCCACCCCCTTATCTTGACATGATGACTTCTCATTCTAGATTTTCCCACATGAGGAAACATCCTCTCTCCATCTCCTTTGTCAATCCCCCACTTTAGCATCTTGTATCCCTCAGTGAGATCTCCTCTGATTCTTCTAAAGTCCGGAGAATATCGGCCAAAACTGCTCAGTCTGTCTTCCTAAGATAAATCTTTGGAATTATTCAGTCTGTTATGGACCAGACTAGACCAGACCACACCCCCTCCAAATATTTTCAGAAAGTAGCCTCTACCCTAACTTTATTTTTAAAAGCAAACATGAAGTGCTGCTTTCAGATGCAATGCGATTGGTCAAACAACTCAATGTTAAGCAAAACAATTTATTTGAACACTAGTTAAAATGCAATAAAAGAAAGAGGAATTAAGAATAACTTAACTCTATAGGAAATGTAACAGAATAGTAGATACAGTAACTATTGCTAATTAACTGTTTCAAAATAGTAACATCCCAGAAACACACTCCTTGACAAAAATGTAAAATTGAGACACAGATTCTCACGGGCAGTGCTCCAATCCAGGAGGATAAAACATCAACAGAAAATACAGAGACAGCAGGAGCCAGGAGACATCCACTGATGCTTCACAGGCTTTTGAGACCCCAATAGCTTCAGATGCACGTGAAATAAAACAAAACCCAGAAATCCTGATCTGTGAAAGCTGGCCACACCCATTCAGGCTGTGAAAAATAAAACTCAAGCTGTTTAGTTAAGTGGTCTTAACTAGCGAGCTCGATGCCTCTCATTCAATCTCCCTCTCAAAAGAAACCAGGACAAAATAATCTCTTAAAGCTACAGCATCATCACAAATCTCTTTGTCTCCAATGATGTTAGGGTGGGTAGGGAGGGGCAAGGCTATTTGTTTTGTAATTACACCCCCTGTCCATATCAGCGACTATTCCTGCCTCAGAAGGGGAGGTGGGGGGCTGCCTCGATGGCTGGTTTGTAATGCATTAGAATGGCAACAGCATGGGCTCAAATCCTACACCAGATGGGGTTACCGTGAAGGACTCTCCTTCTCAACCTCTCCCTGGCCAGAGGCGTGGTGACCCTCAGGTTACATCACCATTCAGTCCCCTCTCTCTTATGGGAGAGCAGCTCAATGATCTGTTAAGACTGTGGTGAATTGATCATGATCTGTAATTGATGCACCATTTTCTTTTTAAACATTCAAAATCGACAGAAAGCTATACTTTGTACAAACCGTTATAGCAAACATATATCTCTCTGAAGTTGACACCACCCCCACCGCCAACCACCGCCCCCCCCACGCCGGTAGAATAATTCATTAAGTAGATGCAGACTACTTCGGGAGGTTGGGAATCTTTGCCGATATTCACTTGGCAGGACTGCGCCTGGAAAATGAACAGATTCTGTTTGAAGTTTTTCGCCTCTCATCAATCAGGAGAGGACGGCAAGAATGGCAAATTTCAAAATCTTAGCCGGATTATGGAGAGAGAGAGAGAGAGAGAGAAAGAGGAACAGAGTTAACGTTACAGGTTATAAACACAGAAAGTTCTGGAGAAACTCAGCAGGTCTGGCAGCATCTGTGGAGAGAGAGAAACAAAGTTAATGTTTCGAGTCCAGTGACCTATTATCAGGGTTGACCCTTTAAAATGAATCAGCAAGCCATTCAATCGTATTCATTGCTACGAGTTCTCAACAATGAAATGAAATGATATGGATCACCCAGCATCGACCCAGGCACCAGAAAAGACAACAGACCTGAAACAACCCTGTCAGCTCTGAAAAGTCCTGCTTACAAACATCTGGGGGCTCGTGTCAAAATCAGGAGAGTCATCATCATACTCAGAATCATACCTTACAGACAATGTCCCAGACACCACCATCACCATCCCTCAATATGTCATGTCCCACCAGCAGGACAGACCCTGCAGAGGTGGTGGCACAGTGGTATACAGTCAGGATGGAGTTGCCGCAGGAGTCAACATTTATTTCGGACAACAGGAGGACACAGTACGCCCTAACACACTGGCCACATTGCCCTACATCAAGAACACATCAGAACAGACAACACGACTCCTAAGACCACGAGGAATCATGGGAGCGCACAAGCCCACAGCTACTTTATGATAAACACTCACAAGGATTAAAGACCGCATTCTCACAACATGCAGAACCAACGTGGTCGACAAAATACCATGCAACGACTGCCGCAGCCATTACATTGGACAGACAGGAAGGAAACTAACCATCGGAATACATGAACATCAGCTAGCAGCAAAACGGCACAATAAACTCTTCTTAATATTGGTACAGTGACAATGAAGACCATCAGTTTAACTGGGACAAGGTAACCATAGTAGCCCAAGCCAAGCATAGACACACACGGGAATTCCTAGAGGCGTGGTTCTCTGGTCTGATTCCTATCAGACAGATCACAGGAAACACCTTAGAAAGTAAGGGCAGGAGTCGGCCATTCAGCCCTTCCAGCCTGCTCTCCCCATTCAATATTCTGGCCCTGACGGCTTTCTGTGGCAGATAATCTCACAGGCTCCTCACTCTCTTGGTGAAGACATTTCTCCTCATTTCAGTCCTTACTCATCTCCTTTAGACTGTGACCCCCTGGTTCTGCACTCCCTCCCAGTCATTGGGAACATCCTTCCTGTGTTTACCCTGTTTAGTCCTGTTAGAATTTTACAGATTTCTATTAGATCTCCCCTTCTTCTCCTAAACTCCAGTGAATATAATCCTAGCCGATCCAATCTCTCTTCATGTGTCAATGCTGCCATCCCAGGAATCAGTCTGTGAAACCTTTGCTGCACTCCCTCCGTAGCCAGAACATCCTTTCTAAGGTAAGGAGAGCCCAAACTGCGCACACAATACTCCAGGGTTTGGTCTCACCCTGTACAATTGCAGCAAGATATCCCTGCTCCTGGATTCGAATCCTCTCACTTGAAGGCCGGGATCTCATTTGCCTCCTTCACCACCCGCTGCTCCTGCAATGCTCACTT